TCGACGCTGGATGCCCGGGCGCGGCGCCGCAAGTTCACCGCGGCCCAGCAGGAGAAGATGCGCGTTCTGGCCCGCGCTGCCCGCGCCCTTGCGGAGAGGACGGACTGTGGCGTGCAGTTTCTGTACTGCGAGCTCAGCAAGCTGACGAAAGCTGCGATCACATGGTCCAAGCGGTACAAGCGTGCGGGGGCGCCAGAGGTGAGCGGCGTCTGTGCGCAGCACGAGGATTGCTTGTCCGATGGCGAGTCGGGGGGGTGAGCCAAAAATAATCTTCCTGGGCTATCTTCTGAGGGACCTGGTGCGAGGCACGTACTTGGGGCCAAACACAACAGCATCTATGATTGAATTGATGTGTTTCTAACATGAAACTTGTGCTCTCAGATAGCAATTCCCTCATCTGCGCGCCAGAGAGGTGAATCGTGCTACGAGCGTAGCAAAACCATACCTTTGGGCTATCGTCTGAGGGAGCTGGCGCGAAGCACGTGCTTGAGGCCAAACACAACAGCAACTATGAATGAATTGGTGTGCTTCTGACATGAAACTTCTGCTCTCCGAGAGCAATCCCCCCATCTGCGCGCCAGAGAGGTGAATCGTGCTACGAGCGTAGCAAAACCATACCTTTGGGCTATCCCCTGAGGGAGCTGGCTCGAGGCACGTGCTTGAGGCCGAACACAACAGCAAGCGTGATTGAATTTATGTGCTTCTAACATGAAGCTTCTGCTCGGGGCGGACCAGCACGGCAGACCAGCACGTCAGACCAGCTCGGCAGACCAGCACGGCAGACCAGCACGGCAGACCAGTGCGGCAGACCAGCACGGCTGACCAACACGGCAGATCAGCACGGAAGACCAGCACGGCAGACCAACCTCGGCGAAGCAAAGAAATGCAGCTCGGCTGTGCTGTCCAGCATAGCATACCACAGCATCGCCTCAGACCACGAGGTGCGCATGCAAACTCCAATGTTCACAGGCACACACACGCACACAAGTACCTGCAGGACCTGTGGGACCTCTTGGACCCGTTGGACCTACGGGACTTGCGGGGCCCGTTGTGGCTCCGCGGAGCTGCGTGAGACAACCGCGGCGGGGCGGCGACAAGCGACGACGGCGACGACGGGCGCGGCGGCGACGACGACGGCGACGGCGGCAGCGAAAGCGACGACGACGACGACGGCGGGGACGACGACGACGACGAGGACGAGGAGGACGAGGACGAGGACGAGGGCGAGGACGACGACGACGACGAACGCGACGACGACGACGACGACGAGCATGACGACGACGACGACGATGAGGACGAGCATGACGACGACGAGGACGACGACGACGACGACGAACGCGACGACGACGACGACGAACGCGGTGACGACGGCGACGGCGGCGACGACGGCGGCGCAGACGACGACGACGACGACGACGACCGCGACGCTGGCGACTCGGGACTGCCAGCCCTGCGCCACGGGGAGGCCGGCCCAGGTCGGTTGTCGGCGGCAGCGCCCGCGGGCGGGCTTTGGAGCCCCGAGGGCGGACCCAGTGGGGCGTTATCCTCCTCTTCTTTTTCCTCCTCATTCCCCTCCTCGCGTTCCCTCTCTATGCCCCAATCCCCTCGCCCTTCTGTCTTTCGCCCGGCTTCTCCTTTCGATATTTGTTCTTTCTCCCCTCGCAATTCTTGATCGTGATCCTGCTCCCCGTCCTCCTGTTCCCTTGTCCCTGGTGTTCCTTTTCTCGTCTCCTCCATCTTCCTGTCGTGGCCGTCTCCCTTCCTCTTCCCTCTCTCCTTCCCTTCGTCTTCCTCCCTTCCGTCTTCGTCTTCCTCCTCTCCCGCGTTTCCTTCCTCCTTCCTCCCTCCGTCTTCGTCTTCCTTCCTTCCCTTCGTTTCTTCGCGCGTCCGTTTCCCTTCCTCTTCGTCTTCCTCCTCTTGCGATTCTTCGTCCCCCATGTTTCCCCAACGGTTTCTGACCTTCCGGGTGTGTTCCTCGCCCTTCGCGTTTCGCCCGTCGTTGTCTCCGTTTCCCCCCTGTCGTCCTCCTCATTGTCGTCGTCTTCGTATGTTTCCTTCTTGGTTTCTCTTCTAATCCCTCTTCATCGTGCCATGGGCGCCGCGACAAACGCCATCAAACGACAACTAACAGCAGCTAGCAACAACTAACAGCAGCAGCGAACGACAACTAGCAGCAGCTAGCAACGCGCCACGACGTTACAGATTTGCGCCCGGCAGTTGCCACATAAGGTTGCGCACCTGCCAGGGCCATCATCCCTGTCAAATAATACCATGCGGGACACATTCGTTTTTTCTTCGCGCGCGCACGCCGTCGTCGTCGGCCGCGGGGCCCTGAATAGTAGCCACGGTCGTCCGCATGCCACGAAGTGAAGTGTCCGAACGTCATAGGGCGGGAAGCTGGGTGTGGGTGGTGGCGAAGAGTCGTTTGGAAATTTGGTAGAGCTTGAACCGGCCCCCCCACAAAGTGGGGGTATTGCCCGCCTCCTATGAAAACCCTGGCACTGGTGAGAACGGTGTGTCCCCACGTGCTAGTAATTGTTGTTGTTGTTGTTGTTGTTGTTGTTGTTGTTGTTGTTGTTGTTGTTGTTGTTGTTGTTGTTGTTGGTGTTGTTGTTGTTGTTGGTGTTGTTGGTATGATTTTATTCTCTCTTTCTCTCTCTCTTTCTCTTTTTTTCCCCAGCCAAGACTATGCTCCCGCTACGGCGTAACGCTATCGCCCCCGCGCGGGCCACATTCCATGGTCCGAGTTCTTCCTCGTCTCTGTCGCCCCGCTCCCTTCCCCTCTCCGCATTTCCCTTCCCCTCTCCGCATTTCCTGGGTCCTCCTGCTCCTTCCACTTCTCTTGCTCCTGCTCCTGCTGCTGCTGTGCCTCCTCTTTCTCCTTTCTTATCCTCCTCCTCTTCCCCCTGCTCATCCTCCTTCAAATACGCCACCTTCTCCTCCACTTCCTCCTATGTCTTAATGTACGCAGCTCCCCCTTTCTCGGTTGCGCATAACACGATGTTTTTTTTCCCAACCATCCTGTGGTGTTGGGTCCTCGTTTTGAAGAGACGGTGCCCGCGTCCTCTCCTCTCCTCCTCTTCCCCCTCCTCCCTCCTCCCTCTCATCATCAGCATCATCATCATCGTCATCGTCACCGTCATCATCAGCATCATCATCATCGTTCTTATCACCATCGTCGTCATCATCATCGCCGTCTCCATCATGGCCACACGTTTCGTGGACCCATAGTGAGCTCCACCGAAGGCCCCAGTGGCAAGGTCCGCATGCGGTTCCACCTCCATTTCGGCGCACCCCTCACACGTTTCGTGGCCCCATAGGGAGCTCCACCGAAGGCCCAAGTGTCAGGGTCCGCATGCGGTTCCACCTCCATTTCGGCGCACCCCTCACACGTTTCGTGGCCCCATAGGGAGCTCCACCGAAGGCCCAAGTGTCAGGGTCCGCATGCGGTTCCACCTCCATTTCGGCGCACCCCTCACACGTTTCGTGGCCCCATAGGGAGCTCCACCGAAGGCCCAAGTGTCAGGGTCCGCATGCGGTTCCACCTCCATTTCGGCGCACCCCTCACACGTTTCGTGGCCCCATAGGGAGCTCCACCGAAGGCCCAGTGTCAGGGTCCGCATGCGGCTCCATTTCGGCGAAGGCCCGTGTCAGGGTCCGCATGCGGTTCCACCTCCATTTCGGCGCACCCCTCCACACGTTTCGTGGCCCCATAGGGAGCTCCACCGAAGGCCCAAGTGTCAGGGTCCGCATGCGGTTCCACCTCCATTTCGGCGCACCCCTCACACGTTTCGTGGCCCCATAGGGAGCTCCACCGAAGGCCCAAGTGTCAGGGTCCGCATGCGGTTCCACCTCCATTTCGGCGCACCCCTCACACGCTTCGTGGCCCCATAGGGAGCTCCACCTGAGGCCCCAGTGGCAGGGTCCGCATGCAGTTCCACCTCCATTTCGGCGCACCCCTCACACGTTTCGTGGCCCCATAGGGAGCTCCGCCTAAGGCCTAAGTGGCAGGGTCCGCATGCAGTTCCACTTCCATTTCGGCGCACCCCTCACACGTTTCGTGGCGTCATAGGGAGCCCCGCCTAAGGCCCAATGGCACGGTCCGCATGCAGTTCCACCTCCATTTCGGCACACCCCTCACACGTTTCGTGGCCCCATAGAGAGCTCCGCCTAAGGCCCAAGTGGCAGGGTCCGCATGCAGTTCCACCTCCATTTCGGCGCACCCCTCACACGTTTCGCGGCCCCATAGGGAGCTCCACCGAGGGCGCCAATGGCAGGGTCCGCATGCAGTTCCACCTCCATTTCGGCGCACCCCTCACACGTTTCGCGGCCCCACAGGGTGCTCCACCGAAGGCCCCAGTGGCAGGGTCCGCATGCAGTTCCACATCCATTTGGCGCACCTCTCACACGCTTCGTGGCCCCATCGGGTGTTCCACCAACGACGATACTTACAACGGCGGCATTCGGAATTGCGTATGGTTGGGCCCTTCGCCAGGATAATTTGAGTTCCAGGTCTGCTATGACACGCGTCCGCGGATCGAGAATAACACTGCGCAACGGGAAGGGATGGGTGGGAGGGCTAGGACGTCAGATTTGGTGCGAGCGCACGTGGCTTAGACCTTCTCTCTCTCTCTCTCTCCTTTCTCTCCTTCCTCCTCTCTCCGTCTCCTCACCCCCCTTCCCATCCCCTCCCTTCCATCTTCGATCCACCACCTCCTCCTTTTCGATCCATCTCCTCCATCTCCTCCTCCTGCCTCCTCATACTCCTGCTCCTCCCTGTCCTCATTGTCCTTTTCTCTCCTTCCTCGCCATCGCCCGACCAAACATGCGCTCATTCAGTGCTCCCCAGACCCCTCTCAGAGCACATCCGTACCCAGCTGCTCGAGCCGCGTTCGGCCGCGGCGACGGCAACCTCCAGAAGCGCCCCAGAAGCTCGAAACGAAGGCGTCGTCCTCGCCGTCGCCGCCGTGTGCCTCCCAGCTACAGGGCGCCCAGCGGCCATGGACGCGGGCGCTGGGGCACTCGGCGAGGCGAACGCGACAGGCCTGTTGGCCTCACTGTTGAACGAGAACAGGCGGCGCCCCCTCTTGCTGGCATCTCTTCCTCCTCCTCCTCCTCCTCCTCCTCCAACTCCTCCACTTCTCGTTCCTTCCTCCCTCCCTCGTCCCTCCACCCTCCTCAGTCCCTCGTCCCTCCCCTCTCCTGCCTACCTCCCTCCTGTCCTGCCTCCCTCTGTTCTCCTCGCTCCCCGCTCCTCGCTCCTCCCTCCGCCATGCCTCCCTCCTCGCTCCTGGCTCCTCGCTTCCAAGCTTCCCGGTCCCTTCCTCCCCCCCCCCCTCAGTCCTCGCCCTCCCCCTCCTCGCCCCCCCGCCTCGCCTCCTCTCTTCCTTTATTTCTTCCTTTCTTTATTTATTCCTTCCTTCTTTCTTCTCTCTACATCCATGTATATTTATCTGCCCCCGGTTCCCCGCAATAGGGCCCAAGACGCCCCAAAGTGGCCTCAAGACGGCCGAAGAGCCCCTGAGAGGCCCCGAAGACGTCCCAAGAAGATCCAAAATGCTCCACAAGAGGGCCCGGGACGGCCAAAATTGCCCCAATCGTTTTTGCAAAACGTACGTTTTCAGCACATCCCCCTTTTAGGTCTTCACTGCGTCCACGACGGCCTGAGAGGCCCCCAAGATTGCCCCAAGACGGCCCAGGAGGCCCCCCCACTTGGCCCCCGAAACGGCCCGCGAGATCCCCAAGACGGTCCAAAAGGTTCCCAAGTAGGCCCAAGATGGTCCCGAGAGGGGCCCAAGAGGGGTAATTCCAATTCTCCGCCCCAAGTGGACCCCCAGACCGCCGGCAGGCCCCCAAGAGGCTCTCAAGAGGCTCCCAACAAAGGCCCCCAAAGGCCTTCAAACAGCCGCAAAGAGGTCCCAAGAGGCTTTTAAACTGGCTCCCAGAGGCGCCCGAGAAGCATGCTAAGAGATCACAACATGTATCCAAGAAGCCTTTGACCTGCAACCCAGGCTCGGTGGCGGTCTGAGCCAAAGGCCAGTAGAGAAGCAAACAAGTACCATCGTCGTCTAGTAACCTGCACCTCAGGAGGCGTGGCACGCAGACAAAGAAGAAAGAAGGGCGTCACCCTCTGCAGTCACATGTAACGCAGGGCACGGCTCTCTCTTCATTACAGCGCGCCGCGGGGCAGTAATCATAGGTGGTTGCTGCGGAGCAAGCATGCGCATGGGCGGTGACCTCCTGTTGAGCACGGTCTGCGTGAAGGGGGTGCCGAATAATCTGCATCATGCCCTTAGGACGCAAAGACAGAGAAAAGGATACGCAGGGCCGAGGGCACACCTGATCTCAAGATCCGCCAACATTTTTTGGCGATTATTAGTCCCGGCCGCGTGGCCGATACAACAATCGAGGCAGAGATGCCCGTGCACGATCATCAAGCAATTCTTTGATTATCAAGCCCCGCCCGCTCCCTCCTTCAATCCACCTCCCATTCCTCGACAGGAGGAGGAGGGGAAGGAGGAGCGGAGGGGAGGAGGAACATTCCCAATCAATCAGACCAATACTTTGGAGTAGTGCGCTGCGCCAACTTCCCAATGAGAGCACAGCGCGTAGCCGTGGACTGCGCGAACAGCCCGATCGGCACATCCATGTTCCCCTGAAGCACTCAGGATGAGCGAGAAGACAAAGCTAAGAAGTGCAGAACAAGGAGCCAGAGAGAACAAACCAATCGATATGAATTCTCCCTGAAAGCGTATCGGCCCAACTCCGGTCGGCCTGATTCCTGAGGGCGGGACCAGCATCGACCTGCAGTAATTCAGTCTTTGGAATCACAGAGAAGCGCTGCCTCGAACTGGGCTATTCCATCGAGGAGCTTCGGTGACCAACAAATCAGATTTTCTCTTGTGCTCGTCGTCATGTCGTCATCCTCCTGTTTCCACCGCCCGTGATTCACCAATCCTCGGGGTACCGAGAACTGGGAGCCAGTGGGAGGATCAGGAGAGGGGGTTGGGACGGTGAAAGGAGGGAGCAGTGGGTGGCAGACACGGGGGAACAGACATAGGATTTCCACCGCCCGTGATTCACCAGTCCTCGGGATACCGAAAAATGGGAGCTAGTGGGAGGATCATGAGAGGGGGTTGGGACGGTGAATGGAGGGAGCAGGGGGTGGAGGAGGAGGCTGAGGAGGAGGAGGAGGAGGAGGAGGAGGAGGAGGAGGAGGAGGGGGAGCTCACACATGCTAGTACGGCAGACGAATCGTTTTGAGGGGACAGGGCGAAAGTAGGAGAGTGAGAGGAGGTAGGACGGGGGATGGGGTCGGGATGTAATGGAACAACGTGGGATTCGATCCGTGCCGCTTGTTGTTACTTTGCCCCAGTCTGCACTAGAACCTGAGCGCACGAAGCGCGCGCGTGGTTCTTGCATGCACATAACCCTTCCCCCTCCTCTGGCTACGTGCTGGAGGTATTCCGCCTTCTCTCTTTTTCTGTCTGTCCATACGTTTTGTTTTTCAGTCGGCACGTTTTCGGTGTTTTTTCAGAAAGATGTTCCTGCTGCAGCGCTGGCCTCAGTTTAGGACCGGTGCTTTGCTCCCGTTGTCCAGGATGACTTTCTCGCCCCAGCGCGGGCCGTGGTTCCGGATCCGAGTCCTTCCTCGTCGTCGTCGCCCCGCTCCGTTCCTCTCCTCCGTCTTCCCCTGATCCTCCTGCTGCTTCTCCCGCTGCTGCTCCTGCCTGCGAAGCCTCCTCGGCGCTTCGCCGTGACACCCTTCGGCGGGTAGAGAATCGATGAGCACAACGGGAAAGCATGTGTGAGCAGGGCAGGGTGTCAGATCTCGTGCGAGCGCACCTAGCTTGTCCTCGCCCCCCCGTCCCTCCCCCCTCTAGCTCGACCGTTGCGCCCGATGGCGGGCGGCGGGGATCAGGGTCCATGCCCCCACGGATGACAGAAATGACGTCGGAATCGCATGGGCGGCGGCGCGCCCAAGGGGACCTCTAATCATGCAGGGGGCTTCTTTGAAGCTCTCCCCGCTTCGGCCTCCAAGGAGCCCTCTTGGAAGCCCCCAGACTCCCTCCACTCCCCTCCCCTTCTCTCTACCCCATCCCCCATTCTCGTCCCTCCTCCTCGCAACTTTTTGATATGAGTATAGTTCTCCTCTCTCCCCTGACTAGTTACCCCCCCTCGCCCCTCTCCTCGCCCCTCGCCCCCCCTCGACAATCGCCCCTCCTCTCCCTCGCCCGCGCTACTTCCCCCCTCGCCCTCCCCCCTGCTCCGCGCTCCCGTGGCCTCGTCAAAGGTTGGCCGTCACGGCAGCCGCTCCTGGTCGAGGTAGGCGAGATATCGCGAGACGAACCCCTTGAGAGGGGGCCGCTCTGCAGCCGAGCCCTCTTTTCCCCGTGAGGGCTCGTGCCCAGGGCTTCGGTCGTTGGGTCATGGATGGGCGTTGAATGGGGGAGGTCGAGGGCTGCAGGAAAGGGGCCCAAACGGGGCTCCAGCGGGGTTTCCTGGGGCCCCGAAGGAATCGTCGATGCATGCGCACCCCTGTGCGGCGGGGGGGATGATACCTGGCCAGTGAGAAGAGCCCGCAGCCACTGCGAAGAGCCCACCCCTGGGCCCCCTAAGGTGCACGAGAGGTGCACCTTTCTTCACCCCCCCGTTCAGCGGCACTCCCCACTGGGGAGGCCGCCTCGGGCGGGGGTCGCGGGGGCCGGGGTAGGGGGCGCGCCCCTCCCCCCCTCGGACTTCCCCCAACGTTGGCTAGGCCAAACTAGGCCCAAGGCCAGGGGGCGCTCCCCCCCCACCCCAGCTCGGACTTTCCCTTACGCTGGCTTGGCCAAAGTCCAGCGCGCCCCCCCCTAGACTTCCCCTGCGCTGGCCAGGCCAAAGTCTAGGGTGCGCCCCCCCCCCCCCCCCCCCCTAGACGCTGGCCGGCCCATCTCCCCTCAGCTTTTCCCCGACGCTGGCGAGGCCCGAAGTCTGGGGGGCGCGTCCCCCCCCCCCCCCAGAGGTCCCCACAGGTCGGGCACGACATCCCAGGCTTCCCGCTCTGCTCTTCTCCCGGGGTCCGCCGTTGGGTCGCGCCCTGGGGCCCCCAGATCGGAGGGCACCAACTATACACCAACACCGTTCCTGGCCCAGGATCACCCTGGGCCCAGGATCGGTGTATATGTCTTCTTGCCCAAGGCAGGAGGGCGTATACACCGATCCTGGGCCCAGGGTGATCCTGGCCAGGATCGGTGTTGGTGTATAGTTGGTGCCTTCCTACCAGAGCGCGGCGCGACGGGCTGAACCCGCGCCCCCAGCGACCTGCAGACGCAGCTCGTGTGGCTGGCGCGCCCGCGACCGCGGCGGGGCGGGGCTGCGCGGCTGGGGCGGCCGGCGGGCGGCGCGCCTGCGACCTCGCTCGGAGGAGGTGGCGGAGGAGGAGGAGCACGAAGGAGGAGGAGGAGGAGGAGGAGGAGGAGGAGGAGGAGACGGAGGAGGAGGAGGAGGAGGAGGAGACGGAGGAGGAGACGGAGGGGGAGGAGATCGGAGGCGGAGGAGGAGGAGGCCGGAGGGGAAGGATGATGTATTGCAGCGCCCTGTCTTGGCTGTCGCCATTTTGCAGTATACAGGAGGAGGTGCTGGGGGAGGAAGGGGATGGAGAAGGAGGATGACGACTATGACAATGGTGATCATGACGATAACAATGACGATGCTGGCGATGACGCCGAGGACGGCGGCGGCGACAGCGACGGCGACGACGATACTGATACTGTTGATGAGGGTGATGATGCTGCTTCTGATGATGATGACGATGATGTGATGTGATGGTGATGATTATGATGATGATGCCGATACGGATGATGATGATATGCCTGATAGTGCGGCTGATGATGATGGTGAGATTGATGACGATGATGCTGACGATGATGAAGAAGATCATGCTGGTGATGATGATGCTGATGATGAGGATGCTGACTGCGCTGGTGATGATGGTGTTGATGATGAGCGATGATGGTGGTTATGATGATGACGATGATGATGGCGACAGCGACGGCGACGCCACTACGACATCGACGACGATTATGATGACGACGATGATGCTGCTGCTGATGATGAATATGACGAATCATGATGCTGATGTTGATGATGGTATTGAGGATGATGATTATGATGATGATGCTGATGATGACGACATATGCTGCTGACGATGCTGATGCTCATGATGATGATCATGATGCTGCTGCTGCTTATGATAATGATGATGATGATGATGATGATGCTGATGATGATGATGATGATGATAATGACGATGACGATGCCGGCGATGCTGATGATAATGACGATGATTATGATGTTGATGATGATGTTGCTGCTTTCAAGGGTGACTATGACGACGATGATAATGATGCTGCTGGTGCTGATGATGATGATGATGGTGGTGATGATGGTGATGATGCTGCTGATGATGGGTGATGCTGATGATGCTGATGATGCTGATGATGATGACGATGATGATCAGGATGATGATGATGATGATGATGATGATGATGATGATGATGATGATGATGATGATGATGGTGGTGGTGGTGGTGGTGATAATGATGATGCTGATGATGTTGGTGGTCGTGGTGGTGGTGATGATGCGTTAGGGTGGGTTATTCTTATTTTCGGTTCGGACCGTCAGAAGGGCTTACGCTCAGGGTGACCCCCTAACGACGACGATGATGATGATGATGATGATGATGATGATGATGATGATGATGAGGATTAGGAGGAGGATCAAGATAATTGCGATGACGATGCCGATGACGACGACGATGATGGTGATGATGATGCTGATGATGACGTTGATGGTGATTGAGATGACCATGGTGACATGATGCTGATGGTGATGATGATGCTGATGACGATGATCAGGATGATGCTGGTGGTGACGACGATGCTGATGCCGAGGATGCTGCTGATGCTGATGATGATGCTGATGCGGATGCGGATGCGGATGCTGATGATGATGCTGATGATGATGATGATGATGATGATGATGATTGTGTCTGGTGATGATGAGGAGTATCATCATCATTTTTGCTAGTGTTAGTAGTATTGGTATTATCCATTTTCTTATTCAGATGCTATTGCTGATAACGCCGACGGACATGGTGATGTTTATGATGATGATGCTGATGCTGATGATGATGATGACGACGAAGAGCTTGATGATGATGATGATGATGGCGATGCTGATCTTGGCGGCGGTGAAGACGATGCTGATGGCTGATTATGGTGGTAGCGATGATGATGAGTGGGGATGGGTTATACATCTGGTTTGTTTCAGTCGCCAGGAAGGGACGAAGCTCAGTGTGACCCCTTGATGGCTAGCCGTTACGCAGTGTCCGCGGCCGGCATTCGGCGCGCAAAGATGCGGATTGAGGAGGATGAGGAGGAGGAACAAGGAATAGGAGATTGGTACCAGGACGAGGAGGAGGAGATCAGGACAATTAAGAGGAGAATAATGATGATGTTGTTGATGATGACTCAAATGCTGATGCTGATGCTGATGTTGCTGCTGCTGATGATGATAATGATGATTAGGGCGATTAGGATGATTAGGATGATTATGGTGGTGGTGCTGATGACGTTGTTCTTGCTGCTGCTGATGTTGTTTGTGATGATGTCGAGTACGACGATGATGATGATGATGATGATGATGATGATGATGATGATGATGATGATGATGATGATGATGATGATGATGACGATCAAGCTGTTGCTCCTGCTGCTGCTGATGATGATGATGATGGTGGTGGTGGTGGTGGTGGCGCTGGTGGTTGTGGTGATGATGATGAGGAGGATGAGGATGATGAGGAGGAGGATGGTGATTGATGGTGAGGAGGAGGAGGAGGAGGAGGAGGAGGAGGAGGAGGAGGAGGAGGAGAGGACCGTATTGATGATGACGACGACGATGATGATGATGCTGATGATGATGACGATGATGATGGTGTTGGTGATGGCGATGGTGATGGTGATGGTGATGAGGACGAGAAGAAGGAGGAGGAGGAGGAGGAAGAGGAGGAGGAGGGCCATGACGAGGAGGAGGAGAATGATCCCAGCACGCCCGTGGCGTTCTGCCCAGAGCCCAGGGCTGCCGGGTCACTGGCCAACGTGAGGTGGTGTTCGCCTTTGCGCGCATGCCAGCTCGTCCTGTGCCGTCTCCCGCGTGGCTCGCCTCGCCCGCTTGGCTCGTCCCCAGACCGCTCGGCGACTCGAGGCACCGGGGCTGGACGTGCCTCGCAGTCCTCGTCGCCTCGAGGCTGCTCACAGCGGCACGAACGAGATGGGCACGGACAGAATGGGGACAAGACCGACAGGAGTTCTGGTCCTTCGGCGCGGATGCTGTCCCTCTGAGACGAGGTCGCCCGTCGAACAGTCGCCGATCCCTGTTCCGAGTTCGGGTTCTCACTTTCGAGTGCAGATCTTCGACCTTCAGATCTCGGGTTCCTAGTTTCCAGGTTCCAGTTCTGAGTTTCTAGTTCGTTGGCTCGTTAGGAGCCGCCTGGAGCCTGTGAGGGGCGTGCTGGTTGTGGTGACCGAAAGGGGGAAGGCCTTGGGGTCCGTACACAGCTAATGCGTTGTGAACTGGACCTGGTTTCGAGATTCATGACAGAACTAACAGCAGAACCAGTGGTCGAACCAGTGGCAGAACCAGTGACAGAATCAGCGGCAGAATCAGCAGCGGAAGCAATTGCACGACCACCTGGCCGAACCACTGGTAGAGCCAGAGGCAGAGCCAGCGGTAGAACCAGTAGCAGAATCAGTGGCAGTAGCATTTGAATAACCAGTGACAGAACCATTGGCAGATCAAACGGCAGAGCCAGTGGTAGAACCGAGTAGCATTGATGACACCCAGTGGCACATCCATCTGGGGGTGTATGGGCAATTGTGTGCTAAGTGCTGCTTTCGGGGGACCCCGCCACGGTCTGTGGATGTCTGCATTCGTCATGCCTCCCCGGTGCAGCTGTGGTTGTACCAGGAATCTATTTTGATTTGCCCCATTTTGCTAGGATGCTGTCGTACGATTCACAGGTCGTCCATTCGTGGTGTTTGCGCGAACGACTCGCCAAGGAGGACGGACATTCATGTAGTGCCCTAGAAAGGGCCTCGCTTTCGAGGATCGATGTAGTTGTCATCTCTTCCTCGGCGGAAGGCGGTGAAAGGCGGCGGAAGGGCGGTGGAAGATGGTAGAAGTAGAACGAGGCCACTTCCGCCAGCGGAAGCTGACAGAAGGCCTGCGGAAGCCAGCGAAAGCAAGATATGCGTCCCAAGAGGTGCATATGTTTGTTTGTTCAGAGTTTCCGACCCCGACTACATAGTGGCTTGGCGTTCAGGGGATCTGAGAGAGGCAGGCATGGAGGGCCAGACGCGTCCAGGTGCGACGGACGGTGCTGCCCATATTGCTGTTTGTCCTCTGGTTCCGGAACCAGTCCAAGGCTGGGCTTTCCACGCCTTCTCGTCGTGGCCATGGCTGTTCCAGTGCTTTTTTTCCGCCCCCTGCAGATCCTGCTTGCCAGCAGCAGCAGCTCAAGTTGGCCATGGCACAGTCATGGGTCCTTCAGCCTTCTGATAGTCGTACTGCCACTACCATCCCTCCAACTCTCTAGTCTCTTGCGTGGACAGTGGATGCTCGGTGTGGTTGTGCTGGTGCCTGCGTTGTTAGTGGTTGTGAGCGTGGCTCGCACCCCCTGACACGTGACCCCGCTGCTACGCTTCCGACCCAGTCCTCTTCGTGCACCAAGTTTCCTTTGGCGCCAGAAAATGGTCTTCGTTCCTTACTGGGAAGGCCTTGCGGCCGATTCCGCTTGCCTCAAGGGGGACGGCGACGACGGCGGCGGCTGCGGCGGCGGCGACGCTCACGTCGCTGACGCTCTGGAGCCCTTCTTGGTGCTCTCTTGGGGGCCTCTTGGGCTCCGTTGGGCCTGGGCCGGGGCGGGCAGGGGCCAGGGCTGTGGTCGAGGCCGGGGCCGCGGCCAGGGCCCCTGGCTGGGGCGGGGCCGGGGCCGGCACCAGGGCCGCGGCCAGGGTCCAGTGCCGGCGCCGGGGAGGCGGCCGGGGCCGAAGCCAGGGGGCGGGTGGGTTGGGGCCACGGCCGGAGCTGGGGACCAGGGCCGGGGTCGGGGCCGGGGCCGGGGCCGGGGCCCGAGGCGGGTGGAGGGGTCCTGTGATCTCTCTTGCCGACGGGGACACCACCCCTGCCGACGGGGGCCGCCCCGGGGGGTGGCATTCTGACGCTGCCCCGGGCTCCCCCCCCCCTGGACCCCCACCTGGGCCCCTCAGGACCCCTCCCGGGCCCCCCCCCAGATCCCTCCCAGGACCTCACCCCCCCCTGCGGGGAGTGGATCAAAGGGAAAGGGTCTCCCTTGGATTCATTTCGCTTTGGCTGGCGGCTGGCGCGCTTGATGGAGCCTAGGGGAGAAGAAGGGAACGGGCGACTGCGACGATGCCGAACGGAGGAGCGTCTTCCACACGCAAGGGTCGGCGGATTCAGATGTTCCTCGAGTTCTCCTCGTGCACCAAGGCTCCCTTGGCGCCGGAGAAGGGCTTCGTTCCTTATTTCGCGTTCCTCGTTTCAGCAGCCTGGCTGTCTCTGGGATTCCTGTTTTCGACAAGGTTTGCATCGAGAGCCAAGGCAGGGCCGCCTGCGGTCCGGGCCGCTGCGATCCGATTCGCGGGCCGCGGCGGCGGTTCCGCTTCGGTTCGATTCGGCTCGACTCGCCGGCGTCGGCCAGGGCCAGCCGGAGCCGGGCGCGGCGATCGAGATCCGATCCGCATTTCGCAGGCCTAGAGGTTGACACCAACACCAATTTCGGCGGTGTGCCTCCACCGAGAGAAGAAGATCCCGATCTCGGTGATGGTGGTAATATTCTGGCTTCCAAGGTGGCCGAAGTATTACCACCAGCACCGAAATCTAGGACCATCTTCCCCACGTGGAGGCAGCCCCCTGTGCTGGTGTTGGTGCCCATTTCTGGGCCTCCTAGCTTTCGCGATCCGATCCGATCTCGCGAGCCGGTCCGACGTCGCGGTTCGATCCGACAACCCAGGGCCTGGGCGTCTCGTGGAGGCCTCACGGGGCCGAAGTCTGGCCGTGCCTGCGCCCGCGCAGGCCTCCGCGGCATCCCGCCGCCCGCCGCCGCCGCCGCCCCCGTCGCCGCCGCCGCCGCCCTGCCCTGGACTTAAGTCGGGCATGTCCCTCAAGAGGGGGAACATTCGAAAAGAGTCAGAAATTAGTCAGGGGAAGATTTGTCGATCCATTTTGGACCCCTTTGAGCATCTTCTGTTCGTCGCCCAAGTGCCGCCTGTAGGAGGACACGCCCGACCTAAGCCTGGACCGAGCCGTGGCGACGAGGGTCCTCCGGGAGGCTCAGGAATCACGGAGGATGAACGAACCCTTAACCCTAATAACACGATGAAGACGTAGCCTCTCTGAGGTCCCCGTCTTCGCATGAGGGACAATAGTCTGGGCGGCTTGGTTCGATACTACCGATGCACCTGCAGAAACGACCCCCCATTCCTAATGTTCCTGGCCCTCCCAACTTAGGTCCCCTCCCAAAGGGTTAGGGGTCCTTTTTTGGTCAATCAAAAAAGGGTGCAGGACGTGACAATCCTTCTTCGCCCTCTCGTCCGCGTCGTCGTCGTCGACGTCGCCCGACCAGAATAGTCGGTTCACATACGATTCCTGGACCCCTCCCGTTGCCCATCCCAGCCGGCCAGTTCACGCGCTGCGTCCAGCCGTGGAGACGAGAACTTGAGAACCGCTCAAAAACCTCCAAAGCTCAGACATCGTCGTTGTCGTCGTCGTCGTCGTCGTCTGTGCCTGCCGCCGCAGTCCGACGACACGAAGTACCGGTACACTCGCAACACCGTCCTGGCCGCCCGCAAGGCGCACCGCAGGGTTCGTCAGCGGTCCCATGCGCTCGCCGTCGTTGGTGGCGGCGGCGATCGGGAAAATGATGTTAGAACAGTAGGAGGAGGAAGGTGGTGGTGGTGATGGTGAGGATGACGTCGACGATGGCGAAGGCGACGACGATGGCGACGTTGATGTTGATGTTGATGTTGACGATGATTAGGAGGAGGACGAGGACGAGGAGGATGAACACGAGGAGGATGAGGGTCAGGATGAGGGAAATGATGATGACGATGATGATGACGATGCTACTGATGATGATCACGATGATGATGGTGATGATAATGATGCTGATAATGATGATTTTGATGTTGTCGATGATGACGATGATGATGCTGCTGATGACGATGCCGTTGATGATGATCTTGGTGGTGATGATGGCGATGATGAGGAGTATGGTGATGTTGACGATGACGATGATGATGATGATGATGATGATGATGATGATGATGATGATGATGATCAAGGTGGTGATGATAACGAAGCTGATGATGACTATGATGATGATGATGATGACTATGTTGATGATGATGACGATAAAGATGATGCTGATGATGATGCTGATGATCATGATGTCGATGACTAAGCTGATGACGATGATGATGGTGATTCAGCTGATGATGCTGACGACGATGACGACCATGACGATTACGATGTTGATGTTGACGACTATCATGATGATAATGATGATGCTGATAGTGGTGATGCTGATGATGATGCTGATGACGATCACGATGATGATGCTGCTGATGATGATGATGGTACTGATCACGACAAAGATGATGATGATGATGATGATGATGATGATGTTGTTGTTGTTGTTGAGGATGACGATACCGATGACGGCGATGATGATGGTGATGTTGATTATGATGATGGTGGTGGTGATGGTGATAATGATACTGGTGGTGATGATGCTGACGATGATGAGGATGATGCTAACGATGATAATGCCGATGATGCTGATGCTGATGCTGATGATGATGCTGATGATCATGATAATGGTGGTGATGATGATGATGATGATGATGATGATGGTGAGGTTGATGATGTCGACGAGGACGATGTTGTTGATGATGATACTAATGATGATGCTGCTGATGATGATGATGATGAGGCGGAGGATGAGGACAATGCGTATCAGGACGAGCAGGATGAGGAGGATGAGGACGATGACGGTGATCATGATGATGATGATAATGATGATGATGATGATGATGATGATGATGATGGTGATGATGATGATGATGATGACGATGACGATGACGATGATGATGATGATGATGACGCTGATGATGATGATGGTGATGCCGACGAAGATGATCATGATGATGAGGACGATAATGATGACGATGATGCTGATGCTGATGCTGATGGTGATGAGGATGAGGATAAGTATGAGGATGTGGACGAGGATGATGCTGATGATGATCACGATGATGATGATGATGCTGATGCTGAGGATGATGCTGATGCTGATAACGATGACGATGATGCTGATGCTGATGATGATGATGCTGATAACGATGACGATGATGAAACCGATGACGATGCCGATGATGA